TAACAGTGTGTTTATACTGGATGCCTGCCAGCCAAAATGCAACAGGTTTGCAAAATGTATTTCCTCAAAACAGCATGATATGCAATGTAATAAGGAAAGCAATCTTCCAGTGGCCCCGATTTTGAAGTTCATTTCAACTCCTCTGACTTGGAAGCAATGCTACCAATTCGGAAGAATTACACCACCCTAATTGATATGATAATCAGGCCTGGAGGCTGCATTTCACAGGTACAACAGTCACACTGCAGCTTCGGAAAGGGAATATAACTGTAGGAAATGAAAGCAATTAACAGTTGTTTATATTATGAGGATTGTTTGGCCTATTTAATATCCCTATCAAAAGATGCATTATTTGTTGAGCAATCCTAAAAGGAAATCAAAGGGAAACTTAAGGAATGTTGCTAATCCTTTGTCACTACGACATTTAAAAGCCAGGAAAAAGCTATGCTTTCCCAATCGAAACAAAATATTATCTTCCCCGTGACCCTGGCTGCTAGATTTTCAGCCCAGCTAACAGCACCTATGTCTTTGAGCCAAAAGGTATACTATAGGAACATTACAGAAGCTGAAAGGTGCATGTGCTTGTTTTATTTCTGTAGAGCACTAGCTTTGCATTAGACCATGACTACCAGCTTATTCTGTGGCTGGCATGGGGATGGGTCATGTCTCTGAAGGCTGCAGGAACCAGGAGGTGCTCCCAGTGGGTAGCTTTATTTCTACCATAGCAAGTTTCAGGAGGGATAGCAGGACAAAACAGCAATGTTTGATCAGTTAATGGATGGGATTTGATGAAATGACCACCTGTGATTCAAGGAGACTGGACTGCATGACTCCAAAGTCTCTTCTGGCCTGATATCACCCTGATGCTAATTGATTCTACTTTATTAAAGACTTTAACCATGAACTTCAGCTCCTGAAAGAAACAGCCATGTGGCTGTACTGTGACTTGTAAAAACAGAAGAAAAAAGATGTTAAAAATATTAAGCAAAATCTAAAGTAGGAACAGAACTGGCTTTTATCTGTTTCAATCAAAAGTGAATTCACTAGATACAGTAGTATTTCTTTGAATGGAACAAATAAACCTCAAAGATTTTATAATGAATACTCTTTCTCCACATTTCTACAAAGCAGTCTATAAAACAGAGAATGAAAGATGTCATTCTTAAACACATACCTCAGGACACTTTTCTCACAACTCCAATAACAACGTATCATTTTCTGTTCGATCCTATTTGGCTTTTCCATAAGGAACTGTAAAATCTCTCAAAATCCTGGCACCAGTGGATGCAATAGGAATCATAACACTGACTCTGCTGGAGCAGAATCTCCCACTTCAAAACAAAGCCTTAGGAGGGTGAAAAGTAGTGTGTTGGTTTTGTTGCTGAGCCAGCTATTTAACTCCACCAGCAAGCAGAAACAAAGGCAAACCAAACAAAACTCTAAAGCACATGTTCCTCTTGGACAAATAAGCCAAACCCCTTTGAAATTTATGGCTCTACACCATCCCTACCTGATAAGTCATATAGAAAGCTGCGGCTGCAGATATCAGCAATCACGCAAATAAATTTTATTGTGCTTTACAATACTAGTACAGTTAGACACAATGACCATGGGAGAAAGGGAGGTTGCTATTTTTTTCCTGTCCCATATGGTAATAATTTTGTATGATTGAACTGTTATGAGCCATATAAAACTACACATTAACTGTAAGATACATTGCAAATACATTAAATCTTCCCTGGAGTTCTAGCAAATACTTGCTTTTTCTATGATGCATTTGGAATTAGCAAAGGAATCTACACTGGGCCATAGGATTTATAAATAGATTTGGCTTCCTCTGCAATATTTTATGGGCAATTATTTCAGAAATGAAGATGCAGAGCCACAAATAAATAAAATAATTGCAGCTGATCAGGCTTTATTTACTGCTATCACATTTCCCTGACTGTTAAGCTTCCCTCCTCTCATTTGCTCCACTAGCCTGAATCAATGACCAGATGAAGAGTTGTCAGTTAATGCCAAACACTGAGCTCAATAGGTGCCAAAGGCAGATTCTGGTTTCCCTATTTCCAAATCCTGCCTGGGCCTTTCTAGAGCTGGCTTGCTCCCTGGATAAATTCAGCATGGAACTGGGAGGGTGGAAAAGGGCAGAGCAAGTCAGATGAGTTCTGCAGGGTTTCAAGCAATTTGCCAGGGAGTCTATTTGCTGTGACTCCCCTGCAGAAGCCACTGCCAAAAGTCTGGAGACCTCCCCTTCTGTTAGCAGATCCCCAGCTGTGTCAGGGAAGGGTTCGCATGGTCTCCCCTTCCTGCTGCAATCTTGCTCAAACAGGTATTAATTCAGTTTGGAAGATACTGAGTACAGCTATGTATAGCAAAACCAGCTTTCCAGGTAGTTCAAATTAATCCAACCCAGGTAGAAACTGGACTCATGTCTACATATTACCCTGTATGCGCCTCACACCATTCAGCTTTCAGTACTTTGGATCCCAGACAGGGTGGGAAACTCTGGATTATCAATTTCCCTTGGGACCAGGCCTGAAATCCTATTGCTGCCAACTCCATTTTCTAAAAAAATTAGTGGCTCAGTTCAGTTTAACATAGAGATGCAATTCATATTGCCCCCTCCAGCACTAAGAGATAAACTGAGGCTCCAGTATTCATTTGTGGCTGGACACTTGGTACTATTTAATGGTTGTGTTACCTGGAGATCACGAGAAGGTTGCTTGAGTGAAGAGGCTTATTAACTCAGGAGAAAGAAAAGCATAATTTCTGCTGCTTTGAAAAGCCATGGAGCCGATAACACAGGAACAACCGAAACACGTAGGATGCACTGGATTTTTTTTTAGTTCTAGACTCCTTATTTCTGTGTAAAGAAATGGTGCTGCAAACCTCTCCAAGAACTTCATCAGCAACAGTCCGTAAGCTGCTGAAAGAGGCCAATGGGATCAGATGCCAAAGGAGCTAGGAAGATTTACGCTAGCCGAGCACCTGGCTCCCTGTTCACTGTTATCAGAATGAAGACAAATGCTTGCAAACATCCTTATTCAAAGTCGCTAATGCCTTCAGCAATGCTCAGCACAAACGCAGCAGTGTTGCTGCTGTCAGGTGTGCTGCCTGGGAGTACAGCCGCTGAACGTTCTAATGCTGCTTTTTCTGGTGGTGTATGTAATGCAAAGAGCAGTGAGAAAAATAGGATGTTGCTGCCTTCAAATCAAGCAAAGGGAATGATTAAGACACCATCATTTTCTGTTATTGTTCTAGTGGATGGTAGTAACTGCTTCTACAAAGAAACGTGGCTATACTTCTATTTCATCCATCATCTTGCTGAAGCTGTGTATAGTACCGTAGAAAGGGTAAACTTTTGATCTGACCTCATTAGCATTCCCAGAATTACAATGTCATACCAATGATAAAGACTGAGATTATCTGCATCTGAGCAAATGGAGAAGAAACAAATCACACACTATGCAAAAAGCCAACAGCACAACCACAATTCTGCCAAATATTTAAAGGCTTTTTATTTGAGCCCACCTGGTTCTTGATTTTGCATGTGGGACAATACACAATTAAGAATTGAGCCTATATGCACCAAACTTGCAGCTATAGGGGATGGACCCATGCATTGATGATCTGAGTATTTGGGGAGAGGGCAGAGAGAGGACGGGAAAATATTGGAATAGATGCTCTCTGATACCATCTTCCCTCTGACTCAGCAGTATTACGTGTGCTTCCTCTGACCTCTCCCAGGCAATCAGTGATCCACTAGAAACATGGAGAGATCTGTGTGCAATTTGGGAAATAACACAGAGGCATTTGGGCTTTGCATGAATGCCTTGTGCTGCCTGAAAGCTCATAGGATTTCCCTGTGATTCACAGGATGAATGCATGTAAGGAGGGCTCCTGCTCAAACTTGAGTGGGAACAACTACTTGGCCCTTCTGGCAGTCAAATAAGATCAAGTCAAATTTGCACTTGTCCAAGATCAGTCTCTAGCAAAATCTGCAGTGAAACAGGGAATTTCTCAGTCTCCAGCCAACAGCTTATCCCCTGAGCTGTGCTCCCCGCTATAGCTGTAACAAACACAATGCCAACACATTCTCCAAACCACTTGTTCTCAGTTACTTTAGTCTTTTATGAACCATCTTTGAGGAAATTAACTGAACTTCCCTACAGTGGGAACAAAAGATGGACATGAATTTCTAATTCCAGTGGTACCCTTGACACAGATACTGAGTAGCTTCGTTAAACATTTTGCAGCCCCAAGTGTCTTTGCTAAACACTCTACAATAACCATAGAGTCATTTTCCTTATTACAACACAAACATACAGGTCAGGATTCAGAACTCATTTACATCTGCTTTGTATCTGAGTAATTTCCCTCATCTCAATGGGACCTGGGCAGGCACAAATCAAAGCTGCATCATTCTAGTCCTTCCCTTTCTCTCTAGATTCACTACCTTGCAGTACCACTCTCAAACAAACTCATTTTCAGAGTCAGCATAGCCACAGCCAAATGACTAATATAACCCTTTAATACAAACAACAATAAATCAATGGATTAAATTATAATTTATCAGACAAATACTATTTAGCTCTTCCCAAAGCTGTTCTGAACCACCTCTCTTGTCTGGCCATATTCCAGAGGACCACTGGCATTAGATAAAGCTCAGACCTGCAGAGTAAGTTTACATAAGAAAGAAATGCTGAAAACTTCCTGTATTTATGATGGGGAGATTTCACAGAGATCAGAGTGAATAACATTCCTGAGAAGACTGTAATGTATCTGAAGCCTCCTCAGTATCTCTTCCAAAGATCCAAAGACCAGTCTAGCAGGGCAAGGTTCCAACAGACCCTGAAGCTCTACATTCAGCAGCAAGCCTAGGGAACCAGACACATTAACCTTGAGAGATACTACAGCCAACTTTTAACAGCTTAGAAAATAGCAACAGGCTATTTCACCACAATTCCACTTTACAACACAGGCTTTTTTTTACTTACTTCATTGGTTTGAACAATGCTTGTCCATAGTTCTGGAAGGTCATGATCAGCTTCAGCTGGGTTCCTCCTGATTTCATCGCTGTGGGAAACAAAAAAACCACCACTTTAAAATGCTACATGCAGATCTATTTGTATTCAGCTTCCTTGAAACAAAATCATTATCTTTTGCTCTGTATTAGAGTCAGCACTGCAGTATCTGAGCACCAAGCAGGGTAATCCTAACTGTACAACAGATTATTCAGCGGGTGCAGAGTACAGGGGAGGGTTTTGAGTTGCCAACCGGGGCTAAAAATGGATTCTACTCCGTGACATGTCTTTGCCTTCTTCAGTTGGCCACTATGGGCAACATAAGGACCCTGATTGAATGGCATGTATAGGAACAGACCATTGGAGTCTTGTTTTCTCCATCTTCAATTGCTTTTGGAGTTCCTTTTAACAAGGGATACACACTGGGAAAGGAAATGGGGTGCTTTCAAAGACAACTGCAGCTGGGATGTACAGTCCAATGTGCAGCAGACATCTTCTTAATTAAAAGTACGAGCAGATACCATAGCAATCTCTGATCTCTACTGCGATTTTAATAATTGTTGCTGAGCAGTAGAGATATGTAAATTCATCTCCTCTATGCACAATGGATATGTATCTAAGTCCATCCATTAACTTCCAAGGGATCCCAAGGTGGTTCATACATGACAGCATAGGTGTGCAGAGCGGGTCACTGGCTATGCTGGGAGGGTAGGAGAGGGCACATGGAGGTGGCAGGGACTGCAGTCCATGCTGCACACCAAGGGCCATCCTTGCTCAAACATTAAATGCGCTTACTTCCCAGCTGAGAGCTAACAGGAATTTAAGACCAACATTTATTCATACCAGTCTGAATAATTTGGACAATATCGTGTTAACAGCCAGATTATAGTGTTTCTAAAGTCAGAGATATTTTTTTTTTAATGTAAGAATTCATAAAAATGCATTTTACTTGATGATAAGGCTACTTAAAAAAGATAAATATATATTTTGGCAAACCAGCTGCTTTTTTACTATCTCAATCAAAACTGCTCTGAATAAATGAAATGACCTATACCCCGACTCCTTAATTCACTTCTGTGTTCGGAGAGGCAAGCCATGGCAGTCGTGTCTGTGTGGATGAGTCAGTCCTTTAAAGATGCTTCCTAAGAATCATCAGATCATCAATCCCTTCCTTTACAGTTCTGACAAAACCTGTGTCAACGGGAGAACTACATAAATGTCATGTTACCTTGCTCTGTAAATTTCGGCTTAGAGCTGCCCTTGTTCCACCTATATAGCTTGTACATTTTTTTTTCTCTAACCAATGCCATTAGCTGCACATACTTTTTAATTACTCATCTCTGTGCCTTATTACTGATAGGTCATCGGCTTTCTTTAGCACTTGTAATCTATATTTTTGCAACAAAATGCTATGCAAATCTGGTCAGTGTAATTATACTTCTAGAATAAAATCCCTCTTGCCTTGCTGTTTTGCTGACCCCAGCCTTCTCTTGCATTTCCAGTTGATCCCAAAGGAACAAACAAATAATTAGAAATCAAAGGGCATTAAATAATTTGCACTGGACAGGTAAAGCAGAAGCACATGGCTTTCACATATTAAACTCTCTCTCTTGTGCAGAACAGATCAGTTGATCTGCACCTGAGGGAAGAAGCAGCAGTAGGCCTTTTCATACCTAGCCCAGAGCCTGAAGGCAATGGAAGGCACCAATCCTCCAGCCAAAAATCTACACGTGCTGCCCTAGGACCATCACAGCCCAGCTATGCACTCTGGAAACACTCCTGGTCAGTCTGGACAGCCAGCAGGCATGTGGAACTGCCCTTGCCTCATGCCTGCAGGGATGCACAGCCATACTCAGGACCAGCCCTCACCACCTTCCCTGCCCAGTCGCTGCTGAAGGTACACGGTATGCCCAGCTCTTTAAGGCATAATCTGAATTTGCAGCCCCGTTTGCATGGGCTATCTCCATGCAGATCAGTAGTATCAGTCTCAGTACCAAAGGGCAGAATTGCCTCCTATCTATCAGATGTAACTCTCCCCAGCCCACTGACCTCAACAACAGCTGCTTGCAGACTGCTCAACACCAATTGAAGACCAAATGTTTTTTCTCTGAAATTGATGAAATTTATGCTTTTCCATTAAATTCTTAGAGATTGGCTACCTCTCCTCCATGAGACACGTATGTCCAAAATACACCAAAGATCCTGTAAGCCCATCAGAGAAAAGGGAAGGATAGAGCCTATCTTGAGGTACAGCTGGGAAGCCAAGCATTTGGGAAATCACAGCAATGCAAAGAAGAAAAAAGGATCTTCCAGCATGCTCTTTTCTAAGCACAAAGTTTCAGATACACTAAGACGACTGGTTTCTCAGCAAATTGAAGCCACTCGACAGATAATGATTTTGTTAGCAGCCGAACTCAACAACGAGTGTGTCATCACCAAGCAGGGGAATGTGTGAAGAAGATTAACAATTCAGAATAATTCTTCCATGAGACACAAAGGCCTGGTTTCCTGTCAGAAAGAATTGAGCTGAAGTAAGACAAAAGCATCTCCCTGGTCTTCTTAGATCCATCTTATTGTATTGCTTTAATTGGTTGCAATAGTAGGGTTGATGGAACACAAGTTTTGCTGGCATGTTGTCCCTGCATGGCTGCTAGGAGTAAACTTTGGACCTCCCCAAAACAGAAAGTGACATTGGTGGCAATGGTGTCCCATCATGCCTTATGGCAGGGGATGCTGGAAGTCACAAGCATCGCGAACAACAACCCATGCCAGAGTTCCACAACGGCTTCCCTCCACATCATCTGGACCCATGCGCAGATATTCCCACGTTGGCTGCCCGCTCAGTGCCGCCGATGTGCTGGCCAGGCTGGAGGTGACTCAAAGCCACCCTCCAAATCCAGATTAGTTAGAGTGTAACATTATAATCCCTCCAGAGAGGGAAACACCTGACCTTAGGCTGTCTTTTTGAACTCAACAAGACGCTTCGTGCACCTCCAAAGTAAGCAGACTTGGGAGCAGGCCAGGGTGCCCAAATCGTGGGGGTGGCAATGCCAGAAAAGAGCAGGTCTCACTGGAAATTATTCACTCAGACCTTTAGATCAGATTATCTCCCCTGTCCTAGCTTAGCATTACATCTGCACACTGGCTTCCCTCTCATTTTTTGAGCTGTATTCCTTCAGGAACTCCCTTTCCTGCTCAGACCTCAGTTAAACATGTCCCTCTGGCAACTATGGCCAAAGAGCAGAAGCCCCGTCATCTTCCAGGAACTTACCCCAAACAAACATTTTTTGCTCATCTGGAGATGCCCTTGTGCCTTCACCTACTGCTTATAGGAACGTTCCTGAATAATTTATAATACCCAGAAGCAGCATATACAATTTTCCAAGAAACTGGAGGATGCTACACCATTGCAATCTGTCACATCTACGATCAGCAGGCTGAGGTATTTTTAAGAAGGTCTTGCAACATTCGGCTGTAATGACTCCAAGGGAACCACTAGTCACATTCTGAATTCACCTTTTTTTTTAAGGTTTCTGAATATACTGTAATATCACAGGTCATGAACAGCTCTGTAGAAGACTTTATAAACCTGCTAGCTCCCAGCAGGTACCTCAAATCAATTCTCATACAGCTCCTGGACGTACCGGCACAGTAAAACAAATTAAAAACAAATCCCAATACCATCATTACTTTTCATCTTCAGGCAAGTCAAAGCCTCTGTTTTCCCCCAAAAGTAGAAGGAAATGGAAACCAGCACTAACCTTTCCCATTAACCCAGTGCAAGGGCTTTTGGGTGTGATCAGAAACCTTGCTAACTTTAGGAAGCTTTGCAAAAAGTTCCCTGAGTTATCTTTTTGCTTGAGTGTCCATGGGATTAGAGTCTTGTCCAAAGACTAGTGAAATTGGTGGGATTCCTTCTGTTTTCTCTGATAGACTTCAGATCAAGCCTCCAAAAAACCCCCACTCCATTTACATCTATGAGCCTGTTCTCACAGCCACATGTCATGTCTGCTACTTCCCCTCCTTCTCCTCTCACCAGACCAAGACCTGAATTCCCTTCCTGACCCACAGACACTATCCAACACAAAAGATGCACTACCTATCATCTCTCAATCATCGTTTCATAACCGTATGCTACAGGGTTTCTAGCTAGCATCTGGTGCTAACTCCTAGTAGAGAAACAAAGTTGCCCAAAGGGATTTGACCCAAAATGACTTGGAATTTGGATTGGCCTGGCTTTCCAGCTCCTCTGTTTTGCTGCATCATAGCCTCCATCTTACTGGCCTGTCTAGACCGTATGGTCTTCTGACAGAGAGCGAGAGTCCCCGCAGGACCTCTGAACCTGGCTTTTGGTCAGAACCCAACACACATTTTAAAATGTATTTAATTATGCAATGTTAATGCCTGAAAAGTGAGATCCTGTCGAAGCCTAGGATACTGTTAACGTCTGAAACAGAAGATGTTCAGATCCATTTTGGATTCCTATTTCTAGATCAAGCTTAAATCTAACATAAATGTGTTGATTGGCTTTAACAAGTAATACTCTGCCCCAGGCTAGAGACATGGCCCTGTACAAGCTGCAAAGAACATATTTCAAAATGAATTCAAGCCCTCATCATCTCTCACTTTGTTCTTGTTCGGCCAATTCTGCTAACTCGTTTTTAAAGGCCTTTCTTAGGCCTAGTCAAGAGAGTAAAAGACTTCTGGAAGGGAAGAGATCTGTGAAATCATTCAGAGGCTTTGTTGTACATTTTAAGTCCCCTCCTTTCATCTGAAATTGTACGTTAAATCAATCTGTTGACTCTTGGCAGATTCATTGTTTTCTTATACAGTAAATCAATGGTGCTACATTTCATTGTTTTTTACTCATTCTCAAGAGCACTTTTTCCCTTCCTTTGGATGAAATTTTTATAACTTCCTTTAGCACCAGAATTTATGTTCAATATTCAGCGCCTTGTCTTTTTCTTTTTTTTTTTTTTTTTTTCCTGACTTGAAGCAGAGTCCACCTTAGTTAATTGCAGCATTTATGCACCATGTGAGTAATCTTGTGTGCTTGCTTTCTAATTACTGCCTGTACAAACTGAAGACATTGCAGGTTCAGAAATGAACTCAGTCAGGTAATGTTTCCAAATCTTTCCAACCAGAGAATTTAAAGAACCAAACATAAACCCCAACTATACACAGGAATTTCAAAAGCCTATTCTGCTCACAGGCAATCCCTCAGCACACCTCCTCTGGACAGCAGTACAAGCAAGATCAAGACCACACTGCCTCTACAATGCACCATGCCGTATTTGTTGTTAAACTGCTGACGGTGCTGCCACAACTATGCACAGACGTCTTGTAAATATGCAAGAAAACAGCTAACTATGGTTATTTATGCATGCAATAAACAGTTATGAAAGGCAAAGGAAATGTGCAATTGCCTGTGCATGTGCTGCTTCTGAAAACTGGGTTTCAGTGCTTAGTGGAAAAACAATTCTCTCTAGGCTCCTATTTATGGCAAGAGGAAATTTTCACTGAATTAAATAAAATTAAGAGCCATCCCTTTATGCTGAACAAAATGAATAGGAAATATATATATCGATGCAGAGCACAGAATACACCCTCAGCTTGAACGCTCTGGGTAACCCTGTCCTTTTCAAGGCCAGCTGTAGGTGTCACTGTGGGAGCTGAATGTGATGCTCCTTCCCATCCATTGATTTGTTCCATTTAAACTTTAACATCAAGAAAATGTCACCTTGGTGCTCCCTGCTCTTGGGAATTGCTTCTGTCACCGTTTTCATTTTAAAATAACACTGCACATTACAGACTCGTGTGAGAAGTTCTGATAGATGGTGGGGGATCAATCTGGTCACCACTCTCCTCCATAAATAATGTAAGCCGAGCAGAGAAATTACAATGTGACTAAGAAAGCTGTTTAGCTGCAGTTTGCATCTAATTACTGTAGGTATCAAGAACTCGCACAGCAAATCACCTAATTCTATTAGAGCCAAAGGAAATCTGAACACTGGGAAGAAACTGGATATCCCATTTCATCTAATACATGTAAGCCTGTATATTTAATTGTCCTGCTTGCAAAAAGAAGCCTGAAGATTGGGCATTATGAAGGTTCCCATTTATTTTACACTTCTAACCTGACTTTGCAGCTGCCTTAAAAAGATAAAACAAACAAAAAGCAAACAACAAAAACTGACCATAAGGAAAAAACCCAGTTAAATTAGAAGATATGCAGCAATATGCAAAAGAATGTAACAGCCCTATAAATGTCCTTTGGTCAAATGTATTACTCTTTGTTAATCAGCTTACATGCTTTTGAATCCCTCTCTGCAGTACAGCTGAAAACTGGCAAGTATTATTTTAAAACATATATTTTTAAACACCCAAAGAATCTGCAACATAAAATAAAGAGATGTTGCACTGTGTAACAATTAAAAAAAGAAGTATGTTAACAATATGTTCTTTCCTGCTTTGCAATCTGACAAAGCTCCTGAATCTCCACAGAGGCAGGCAGTGGATGCTACCAGTAAAATTCCGATCCTGACATCTCTGCATCAGCAAAAGTCCCCTTCCATTTTCATGCACTTGATTGTAGACTGGGATTTATGTGTAGGAATCATTCCCTTTCAGTTCCCACAGCGACTAATACCAATACCAAACATACCTCATGTTTTAGTTTATGGAAATTATACTGAATCATTGATAGAAGCCACAGCTCTTTTTTTGTTAGTGGCATAAGAGGCCCTACCATGCTCTGAAGAGCCTTGTTCAAACATTAACAGACAGACAATCCCATAGGAAATGGCTAATAACGATCATAAATCTTCCTCCGTGGTCCCGTGGCCCTTTCCCCCTGTTGATCTGAAAGCTCTATCAAAACCATAATTAATGGAAACCTTACGACACATCTATATGACCCATTAGATGAAATCATGGCCCCAGGGAAGTAAATGGCAAAACTTCCACTTACGTCACCAGGTCAGGATTTCACTCCTGTTTTTTTATGATAACCATTTTGTTGCTAGGTTAACTGAAGCATAGAAAGGTTAAGCAACATGCCCAGAAGGGAAGATCAAGCCCAGAAGATCAAGTGAAGAGTGAATACCAAACTACTATTTCTCATTCCTATCTCCCTTTTTCTCCCACCAGCTTCTACATCCCTACATCAACCTTAATCATCCCACTGCTCTGCAGAAGTGACAGACTTCATGGCTCGGACGCTGCTGAGTTTGCTGCAAACACTGCTCTTGTCCTGCACGGACAACATGGCTGAGCTCTAGCATTGAAAAGGTAAATAGAGCTCGATACACTTAGCAGCCATGCAGTACAAAACACCGCTACGGCCAATGCATTTTGTGTAAACCTCAATAGATGAGCCAGGAGATGGTTTGCTTGAGCATCACCTCTGCACAGAGCTGGGGAAAGGCTGGGCACTGCCTGGGGCACTGCTGCTCTTTGCGGGGCACAGGGAAGGGCACTGCCTGCATCTCCTTGTCCTCAATGGATGTGCTCAAAGAGCAACACTAACACGTGTTATAAAGTGCTGTCTCAATCCCCATCCACATGCGTCACTAATATTCCAGAAATCGGTTGGTATTAAGGGGAGAGGTCAGGAAAGGTGAGGACTATGTTAAGGAGAAAACCACCCGAGCCATGTCCATACAGTGCCCTCGTTATCCTCCAGCGCAGACCAGAGAAGCACAGGCAGAGTCTGCTGCTACCTGCAGTGACACATCTGAGCTGGAGAAGGAAAAATACATGGCTTAACTGTCAAACCTGAGCTCCTTAATGAATCGCTCTGATCCACGGTGTTGGGGACAGCAAACTCATCAGAGGTTAATAAACAAACCTGTGTTTGCCATCTTCCATGAGCTAGGTCACCACTGGACCCTTGGATCCAACACGTGGGATGGCACCTGGGTGCCACAAACAGCTTTATTCAAAATCCTGCTCCAGCTTTGCTCAGAGCAGAGCTGTGTGCTGAGTACAGCCACCGGGCAGCTCAATTCATGGAGGTAAAGCTCTCCCGCGGTATCCTGCATTTTACACCTACTCCATCCGGATCAGCTAAATCAGCCCACCCTTGATGACCGAGGATCTCCCTGATTCCTGTTCAGCAGCCGCTGTGATTCACACGATGGAAAATGTAAACCTTAGGGCTGCTCGTGCTATTATTGGCCA